CAGCCCAAGCTCGATCTCGAAGACGGCTTGAGATGCGACTACTTCTATGATAAGTCGCAGTGCAAGGTTCCGGACCTGGGTGCCCTGACACTCGGAAGCATTAATACTTCACTGTTGTCATTTATGTTTTTCTCACTCTTATCATTGTTATTATTGTGATTCGTCTTAGTGCTATTGCTATTTTAGGAAGTGCTCATGCTTTGCCGGGTGCGTCGCACAGACACCCTTGGCTACGCAGCCTGTGCTTGATCACCCCTTGGACAGGAGCCCGGCTCATAGCGTGATTGTGCCCGAGATCTACATGGACCGGGATTGCTAAACGGATCGTTATGCAATTCCGGGGGGTGTTTTGACGCTTGAAGCCTTTGTGTTCGATGCTCTTGCGATCAGACCAACGGGAAGTTCCCCGACGTCCGTCAGGGGGACCACTTCTGCACGAGGTGCACCTAGGGGGGGAGGACTAAAGGTATCTTGAGGGCCGGAATGTCGGATTTTGCTAGGTGTACCGGTCGGCTGGTCACGAAGAAGGAGGGCAACTACAAGTTCTTCCTCGCCTCAGACGACGGTCCCTGCATGCAAGATGTCGTCGTTGGTGCCGTGAGACGGTGTGTAAGTCGTGTCCAGCGTGCTTTCGAGGCTCGATCATGCACTTGAATGGAGAGAAGATCGTCGACAACGATGACTGCCACGGAGAAAGGGAGAGGGGCAGTGGCGACAAGTTCCTGAAGCCGGGTGCCCACGAGATCGTGGTGGACATGTGCGAGATGGGTGGTGGCGAGGTCTTCAAGATGCGCTGGAAAGGGCCAGACAGTGGCAACTCCAAGGTTAAGATCCCGGCTACTGCGCTCAAGCACGAGAAGGCACGCTAAACCCTAACCCCCGCACCCTAAGCCCTTCACCTAACTTAGGGTGTAGGGCGGTGTAGGGTGCAGACTCTGGGAGTCTCAGTTCCTTGCTGGAGAAGGCAGGAATCCGTTTCACCGACAGCGCGCTCGGAGCGCCGCACGAGGACCAAAAGCGAGGGCCTTTGCCTCAGCCTTCCAGGAGGGCCGGGAGATGAGCCCGTTTAGGGTTCAGGGATTAGGGTTTGGAGTGTAGGGTTTATAGAGTCCAGACTCCTGAAGCTTCTGTCCCAGTGCCTTCCCGCCCAGAGACACTTCACACGTTAATGGACTAACTGAAACCCCTGAATCCGATTGACGTTGCTTCTCTTTGGGCTCGAGCTGCTCCAGAACATGTCGCTAGCGGGGTTTAGGGAGCAGGGCTTTGGCTTCCAAGGGTGGCGCCCAGACTTCCAGAATCTACTCAAGAAACCGTCTCCGAACACGCCCTTATCAGAGCCGATGGCAGGCCCGGGGGGTGGGGGGTGTGTGTGGGTTCAATGCCAGTTTCCGAACTCTGTGAGCCTAAACCCTAAGCCTTAACTCTGCAAGCCATATACCCCAACACCCTATTCTAAGTAGAAAGGCCCGTTTAACCTAGACCGAACACAACTGAAATGGTCCCGACCTCTGATGCGCATCCCAGGTTCTACCTTGCCAACTAATCCGATGAGGGCTCTATCACACAAAGTAGTTTACAACCAGCCTGCTCAGCTGCTTAGCTTGGAGGATCCTTCGCGGGGTTTGCTATTTATTCAGGGTTTAGGGATCAATTTAAGCTTTGCGGATTAGGGTTGAGACTTTGTGGCTTAAGGCCTTGAGTCTAAAGAGAGAGGATCATGGTTGCTTTTTCGTGGAGGTAGGCTTGGAATTGTCACAAGTAAGGTAACCACGGCCAGAAGTCTCTTGACCCCACTGAAGGAACGTATAAACCCGTTGCACCTGCTAGTACTAACTACAGAAAGTGCAACCTCAGACTACAATTGTTTTGGCATCTGCAGTGTTGTAACTCCTTGTAGTTGGCCTTGTAGCTGGCCTTAGTAGCTTGGGTCCATAGTTTGGGCTTAAAGGCAAATCTGTGCTGTGGGAGTCCAGGTTTCGGGCATCAGAGAGCTCACGCCCATTTCAGGCTCTGGCTGTGGCTGAGTCTTGGTGAGGTTCTGCGACGGAGGGTGTGTATGATTCTTGCTGTCTATGCAGACCTTGATATTGTAGGTTTTCTGGGTGTCGGGTCTGTGTTTCAGTCTAGGGTTTGCGTGGCTTAGGGCTTGAACAGGGGTAGGAGTTGCAGTGTATTCTTGTGTTGGCAATTTCTGTGTGTCCGACGTGGCTTTGCTAAATAAGAGGATCCACCTATATAGACACTGACAATTCGGAACAAGACCTTCTTAAGCTAAACACCTTGCGGCCATGCTCCCAAACCGCCTAAACCCAAGAATCTACACCTCAAAGGGACCTGGACCACAGCCCAAACCCCTCAAGCAATATGACCCGACACTCGTTTGAATGCACTCCGCTTTTGGAGCCTTCAAGGTCGTCTGACGGGGCCCCGAGCCTCTTTCCCCTCAACCCTAAACCTAATGTAGAGGGAGGTTTGATCAGTCAGTAACCGTATCCCCTTGTAATTCTGAACGAGCTATTGCTTGTTTAGGTAAGCCACCATGTCCGGAAGGGGCTTGTGCAAATTCCCTCGTATTGTTTCACATCCGTGCCAGGCAGTGGAAGCAACGGTGCTGGATGTAGCTGGTCCGGACCACCATCTCAAGACCTACCTACTCAGGCAGGCACTTACTCAGACCTGCCCGTGGGGGGGCAGGGTCCCTGTCCGTGGATGTCTGCACTTCGGAAGGTCAGAAAACAGCACAGAAAAATCAGAAAGCCGGCGTTCAACGGGGTGCCTCGCGAGGGTTGCTTCCGAGGCTGCTCCCCTCGGTTTCTCTTCTCTGCACGAAAACGTGCTTGAATGCTTTGGCTAAGTAGACCTAGCAGGTAGCACAAGGCAACCTCCACGAATCATCAGCGGCCACAGCAGGTCAGTTGCGACGTGTTGTAACATAACCCCAAGCAGAAGGTTTGCCTTAAGTCTGATATTCAGTATTTTTGCCTAGAGTGAACTAAGCTCGAAAACATCAGCTCGTGCGTACCAGCGAAGCAGACTGTCAGCTCAAGAGACGTGGCGGTCGTCGCGTTTCTGGAGCGGAAGATGTGTTATATGCCACGGAGTCCGGTGTAATGCAATCTCGACGAATCTCCACTGTCTCCGCGTCGCTCGTATCGTTCAGCTCTCTTGGCTTGCCTGAGCCAAGCGGCCTCCGTGACCGAGTAAACGAGCATACAATGCAAGGGCTAGCAGTCCAACGAATCTCTTGCGGCTGTTCCCAGTGCTCCGACCCATGCACTTTCTGTCTTCACACGCGTGCTGGGACGACTGCAGCCGATCACATTCCGGGAGAAAACAGGCCCGAATCTTAGCAACTCGCAGTGCTTCAAAGGCCGTTGCAAGGGTACAAGACTAGGAGGTAATGAGACACCGCAATCCACCCCCACCGCGGCGGACGCAGTTGCGGACCAAAGCCTGCGCATGGGGTCAATGCCTGTTCTAGCCTGGCAAAGCCTAGCTATTTTACTTATTTCGTTCTGAAGTCGGGTGCTTCGGAGGTGATGCGGAGGACGTTCGGAATCTTGTGACGAATCGCACCACCTGTCAGTCTGAGTGAGGTTGTGATTGATGGACTGCCCATCACATACATTGCAGGCTTTTGCTCTAGCCGTCTCGTTGTTACAATTACCCATTTCCAGGGATCATGTAGGCGGCATTTATCTGGCAAGGTTCCCTGTGACTATATAACAGGGTGTGATGGCAGCAAAGCACAGAAGGGCGGGGGCTTTGCTTCAAACCATTAGTTTCTTTGGTAGCCTAGCACCTGATGAAACCCAACAGCCATGGCCTGACTCGACTCATTGGTTTCCAGCTTTTCTGGTGTTTACAAGGTGAGGACATCCTTGGAAGAGTGTCCTGTGGTGAGGATGAGGATGTTTCAGCTGACCGCCCCTACAATGGCACAATCGAGCCAACCTCAGACACCTCCTTGCTCCAGATTGGCGACAAGCGACGACAGATTCCGCCGGATTGTTTCTTGTTGGAAGATTACTTTCATGTTGACCGCCACGGTAAACTTGTCGCTACTTTGCGTTTTGGCCCTGGGGGCAACGCCGGCCCAACTGATGTCAGATGCATTGGGTCCAACAGAGTGAAAGAGATAGTTGGAAGCCTCGACGTGACCGGCGCCCTCTCCCTCACGAGCGTTTTGCTACCTACACTTGAAACCGTTCGGGGTTCCTTAATATTCGTGCAACTTCCCCAGCTTGCGAGCCAAGCTTTCGGCTTGGATGCTTTGACGCGCGTGGACGAAAATTTGGTCATCCGACACAGCGAAGCATTGTCCACAGTGCCCCTGCAACGCCTACGTGAGGTTGGCAGAACCTTGGAAGTCAGAAGCAATCAACACTTGGATTTGCTCTGGCTGAATCGCCTCACATTCGTGGGGCTTCATTTGCTGATTGAAAGCAACCCCAGCCTGAGTATGGTTGCAGTTCCGTCTCTGAAAGAGATCCGCTTCGACTTCATCATTGGCGCAAATGGGTTGCAGCAGATTGAGCTCGAGGTCTTGGAGGAGATTGGGGAAGATCTGGTAGTTTACAATTCGGATAATCTCCGATCTATTGGGCTCCCTTTGCTGTCCTCGATTGGGGAGGATGCGGAGTTTATTCGCCTCTTGCACCTTAGGAACCTGTCGCTTCCTGCTTTGAAGTCCATTGGTGAGGATTTGGAGGTCCTGCATTGTTACTCGTTGGAGGCAATTTCAATGCCATCCCTCCACATTGTGCGGGAAGATATGGAACTACATCATCTGCCTCTTTGCAGTTCTGTGTCCTTGCCACGCCTGTCCGAAATTGCAGAAGATCTAGAAATGTACACCCTCGTTGCTCTGACGGCGGTAGTGCTTCCCTCATTGGAGCATGTTCGGGAAGATTTGTTCCTGGGGGGGATGCCAGCTGTTTTGGGCTTGTCGATGCCGCAGCTCATCCAAGTTGGGGGCAGCTTCTGGCTGTTCAATATGCCAAATCTTATGACTTTGGACTTCACGAATCTCACCCAGGTAGGAGGCATCAAGGCGCAGGAAGTATCCCGTCAACCGTCTCAGAGCAAGTGCTACTATGGGCTAGGAAATTGCGAGGCTGAGGAAATCATCTCGGAAGATGCATTTTACATTACCAACAACACCCGACTTGAGCATGTGTGGCTGCCAAATCTTGCTTCCATCAGCTGTCGCTACTTTGCGATCTTCGGAAATGCAGCGCTTGCTTCAGTGCGGCTGCCTCGTCTCGCAGCTTTCTCCCATGCGCCCCAGCAAAGTAAAGCAAATCTCTCCAGTACGAGCTTGACTAGCTTGTTCGCCGCATTTGGAAACACAGCCTTGCTGCTTCTGGAGCTAAATCCAAGTTTGTCTGAACCAGAGTATTGGACATTCGATGGGAACGCTCCAGGCTTTTGCCCCTCTGGGCCGCAATGGGCCACATCTAATTGCAGTGGCGGAACGATCTCAGTAGAAGAGGCAGAAGAAGCAATATTTGGAGACCAGTGCAAGGAAGCTGGTTTGGAAGATGGTTTTCTCGATGGCTTCTGCCGGCAAGCTCAGTGCCCCCCATATGCGCCCAGGAACATGTCGGGAACCTGCCCCGGATGTTACGATGCTAGCGGCTGCTTGGTGTTGAGCAGACTCTTCGTGACAGTTCCTGACCTGATACATGGTGGTCTCGCGATCGACGGAAGTATTTTGCTCTCTTCCGACGATCCTGCCCTGCTTGGAGTCCAATGCATCACAGCAGGAGACGACCTGACTTCAATCAATGGGTGTACGGAGATTTTTGGGAGTACATCTCTTCAGACCGTGGACCTCCAGCAAGTAAGGGTCGTGGGTGTGAGCATGACTTTGTCCGGCAACAGTGCCCTCCACGCCGTGGCTGCCGCTTCTTTGGCAAAGGTCCACCTCGATTTGGTGCTCGAAGGTAATGTGGCTCTTGAGAGCCTCGATTTCCCAGGCCTGCAGTCGGTGACTGGCCGTTTCTCCGTGCGGGGCAATGGGAATGGGGCCCAGGGGCTGCAGTCCCTGGAATTCCTGGAGTTGGCAAGGGTGGGCAGCTTCTTCTTGGCCTCCAGCATGGATTTGCAGCAACTCCACCTTCCAAGCCTCAGCAGCACGAAGTCTCACATTCGCATTGTGCAGGTGAACAAGATCAGAACAATTGACTTGCCTTCGCTGAAGCATATTGGAGAGGACTTCACGGTGTCGTTTTGTTGGAGTCTTACAGCTTTCCGTGTCCCTGAACTGACACACATTGATGAGGATTTGGAGCTGTATGTCCTGCACAGTCTGGAAGCTCTGACTTTCCCACTCTTGATGCAAGTTGGCGAAGACCTGGAGCTTTACACAAACGACGCCCTCGCCAGCATCAAATTTTCGTCGTTAGAAGTCGTTGGCGAGGATCTCGAAATCTTTGACAACACCCAGACCTTCGACTTGGACCAGGCGTCGTTTCCGAATCTCAAGCAGGTCGACGAGGACTTCGAGATATACGCGTGCGCGCAGCTTGAGCACGTAGATGTCCCACAGCTTGCCAACATCGGCGAGGACCTCCTCCTCTTTGGAAACGCACAGCTCAGGGACTTGAGCCTGCCGATGTTGGAAGATGTCGCAGTTCGTGAAGGAGGCGGAATGCTCATAACGGACAACCTGGCACTTTGTCAGCTCGAGTTGCCATCTTTGCGTCGGTGTGGCAACAGCACTGCAAGGATTGGATCCAGAGATGGTAGCAGAGATATCAGACTCTACACTGGAGCTTCACGTCGGGAAGTGCAAGGCCAAGAAGCAAGGCCGGTCCTGATTGCCCACAATCCAAAGCTCACGCGTATTGGACTTCCACAGCTTGAGACGCTTAACACCGGCTTGTGGATCCAGAAAAATGATCAGCTGAAGAGCATTCGGCTGGAGTCGTTGAGGCGTGGCCTTGGAAACCAGTTTTTCGTCATTCGACTGAACCCAGTTTTGGGGAAAGGCGGATTGTGGGCCGACGACTTAGTCGCTTGCCAGTGTTCACGCCTGATCAGGGAATTGTGGTGGATTTTAGTGTGGGGTAGTTTCGCATGTCTTGCTCATAAGGTCCCTCATCTGGAAAATGTCGACGGTGTTCCAGCGCTCGTCAACCTGAATTGCAACTCCCGTGACTTCTGTGTGCAAAGTTCCGGAGTTCCCTGGTTGCTCCCGTGGTCCTGCTGGCGCCGCTGGCGTCGGCGGCATCGTCTCAGGTCATGCCCGGATCCATATTTTGCTAATCGCTGGTGCGGGAGGTCCCCTGCAAGGTGCACGCACGTGTTTTATGAATGGGCCATGGAAAACAGCTACGACTTTGAAGAGAATGTCATTCAGCCCTGGGTCTCTCCTAGTCGATTTGCAGCATATTACAAGGCGGAAAGAAAGACTTATCGGACTTATCGCACTTATCGCTGAGGAGGCACTGTCTTTCTGCATGATGCTGATGCTTCTTCTCACCGCCAATAAACATTGGGGCATCGGCAGATCCATCCTAATATTGCGTAAGTGTCTGCAGCCAGAACAAAGAGCCTTGGCACGTTTTGACATGCCGCTCTGCCGGTTGGTTTGGTAGGCTTCACAAGCAGGTGCTACCCTCATGCTGCTGTAACAGACAGCAGAACATGACCGTGCGCAATCAAAGCCACTGCTTGCACGCACATGTTGCACAAAAACCGGAAAATCGAAGCGGAAATAACCAAAATCCGTATTGAAAATGTGTAAACAAGATGTGTCAATTGAAGACATACAGATATGGAAAGAAGAATTATTCAAATTAGAAAGAGGAAAATTCAATATGTTATGAAGACAGATGAGCCCGATTAGGGTTTTGTTGATAGAGTCCAGAATCGTGAAGCTTATGTCCCCGTACCGGAAGATCGCGCCAGAGACACTTCACGCCTTAATGGACTAAGTGAAACCCCTGGATCCGATTGACGTTGCTTCTCTTTGGGCTCGAGCTGCTCCAGAACAGGTCGCTTGCGGGGTTTAGGGAGCAGGGCATAGGCTTCCAAGGGTGGCGGTTTTTCAAGTCTTTGCACACATCCACAGAACCCACACCCTTGAAGCAGAAAGCCCCAGCCTTCCCAAAATCTACTCAAGAAGCCGTCTCCGAATACGCCCTGATCAGACTTTCTGCGCCCCGTCATCACTTCTGAACACCAGGGTGCTCAGGCCCTTGATAAATTCCACCACCGTAGCCATCGAAGCATGCGACCCTAATCCGGCACGCCGATGGCAGGCGCGAGGGTTCTATGCCAGTTCCCGAAACTCCCCTTTGCACCTAAACCTAAACTCTAAACCCTAAACCTTAACCCTGTGAACCTGAACTTTAACTCTACAGGCTAAGGCCCAAAACCCCCTCACTCAGCCCCAGCCCAAAGCCTTCAGTCAAGGGGCGTGTTCTAAAGCCTGAAACCCTGTACCCCCGAGCACATATTAGCCTTTAAGCCTAAACCATGAACCCAAACTGCAAGGAGGTACAACATTGCAAATGCCCAGCAATTATAATCTCGGTTGCACTTTCTTTAGTTACTACTAGGAGAGTTATACGGTCCTTCAGTGGGGCTAAAAGAATTCTGGCTGCGGCTGCCTGACTTGTAACACATGGAAGCTCCACACAAATCTAAATCCTAAACACTGAACCCTAAACCCTAAACCGTCCTTGCTGCAGACTTCAACCTTAAACTGGAAAGCCTAAATTGCTGAAACCCAAAGAAGCCTCAACCCTAATCCCCCAACATCCCTTGAGTCCTAAATCCCCACAATGCATTTTGGACGATAGAGCCCTCTTTGGGCTGGGCGACTAAGCAGAAATGCCTTCATCTTAGAACTACTTAATAACAACATTATCAAAATACTATGAGAACCCTAACCCCATGAGACCTTTGCCCTAAACCACCCTAAATCCCAAACCCCCAAGCGACCGCAAGGTGAGTCGGAGGATGACCTCTTAGCAACCCTGGAAATCCCCACCGGCGAGCTGATTCTGGAGTCCAGAGTAGGTACGGGATGCACATCAGAGGCCGGAACCACTGGAGTTTTTCTTCATAGGTTCATTTCAGGCTGCGGTCTAGAGCCCTTTGAGGCGTAGATGCTGGGGTTTGCATTGGGGTTTGGGGGTTTGGGGTTTCAACAGACTAGGGCGGGTTTTGTACTGCCAGAGGTTAAGGAGAAGGAGTGGTCCGGAGACTGCTTTAATGGGTGCTGGAAGTAGCTAGTTGCTGACTACGCCGTGAGAGATACGATTTTGCCCTTAGATTTGGGGCTGTTTGGCTGCAAGGTCTTGGGATTTAGTGGTTTTGTTCCGATGTTTCACTGTCTAGGTGAAGGCTCTAATCTACCAAAGCCAGACCGCAAACCCTTGAGGACAGGAATTCCCAAAAGGAAGAAACTAACCCAACCCCTAAAACCTATATATCAAACCTTGACCTTTAAAAACCCTGCTAAAGCCCTACATAGCGCCCCGTGGATGTCCCTAGAAGATTAGCAGAGTATATCCCCACAGATCATGACAGAAAAAGAGACCTATTCAAACCCTAAACCCAAAACCCCAAACCCTGAACTAATAATGAAGTCTCCTTATTCAAACCCTAAACCCAAAACCCTAAACCAATAGTGAAGTCTGCTTGGGCACTCCGGGGAGGTCTACAAGGGCATCTGGACACGCACCCACACTGCCGGGAGCCCCAGGACGAAAAGGTCTTCTGGGGCCTCAACGAGGGGTCAGGGGTTTAGGGTCCAGGGGGGGTTTTAGGGCTTAGGGTTTAGAGTCAGAGCTTCGCAGGGCCTTATTTTCCAATTTGGAGTTTCGGGAACCTTGTGGAGTTTAGACGTCAGGGTGAGCTGATTTCATGAAGTAGAGACCTTCTGAGAAGGAGCGTGGAAGCTGTTCAGCTTGCACCCCACGAGAATAAGAGAAGGCTGAAGGACCGGGACTATCATCAAAGGCTTTGGGGTCTTTGAAAGGCCGTTTTGAGGTGCCCACCGGTCTGGGTATTACGGTTCAGGGTCAGTAAGTGGGGTTGGTGTTTGGGATGAATGGGCCAGGATAGGCGAAGGCTTTTGGGCCTAGGGTGAGGCTTTCCAGATGTGGAGCGGGGGACTCTCGGTTTCTGGGTTTACGGGTGTCGGCTTCTGTCAGGTAGGGACTGAGGTGTCGGGGTGCAGGGTGTACATGTGGGTAGTTGTCAAAATGATGGTCCCTTTTTGGGGTACCCTAAATAATAGGTGCCGTATTATAATACGGACCCAAAAAGGGACCATCATTTTGNNTTTTGACAACCACCCATGTGGCTTGTGGATGCCCTGTCTGCCACGAAGGTCGTCGCGATCAAACAGATCAGTGCAGCTTGGGTGCATCTGTTGCCAGGGTTCCCGGATGAAGAATTTCGAAAGCTTATGGGGTTACGAAAGCGGATGCTGTGGGAATCCATCTAAAGTTCAAGATAAAGACAGATAGATAGATAGATAGATGGTGCCGGCCCTTTGTACGTGCAGCTTGTCTTAAAGGGCTGTGGGTTAGGGTATAGGGTTTGGGGAAGCCTTTGCAAGCTTCATGTGAGAAAAAGCATATCAGAACAAACTCGAAACACCTTTGTGCACGGCGTCCTTATATATCAGGGGAGTACACTGCAGGCTGCGTGGTAGGTCTGGTAGATCCTCGCCGGGGGGGGGGGGGGGGGGGNNCCCAACAAGTGAGCACATTGACTCACCGCAACCACGGTGATACATACATACATACATACATACATACATACATACATACATACGTACATACATACATACATACATACATATACACATCTATGTTTATATATATATATATATATCGACATCGATCGCTGTGTTGGTCCCACGGCGTCTACCTGCTTGGGGTTAAGGGTTTAGAGTTCTGTGCAGCAGATCACCTCAAGCCTCACGCCCCAAGACCTTGAAGCCATGATCTTCGAGATGGAGGTGACATACCCCTAAACCTAAACCCAAAACCCAGGGACACTCCGATCCAGGAAGATGCCAGGATGCGTTCAGAGCAGCAATTGGCCTTTGTGCGAGAGATGAGCGTGTTGACCCAGGCTGGAACTTAGGTTCTAGGGTTGAGGGTTGATGGGGCTAATCTTCGGGCCTTGGTTATTGGAACAAGGTTTTGGGGTAGTTTAGGCTGACTCAGAGCTAAAAGACAAGAAGCATTGCGGAATACTCGACAATACAGGTCTGACTAGCAATGTCCCCACATTGTCTGCAGGCGCAGTTCAGCAGGACAAATCAAAGCACCGCGTATGATTCCTGGAGCTCTGTGTTATATCCTCACAGATGACAGTTCTTGCATAGTAGGATTGGGGTTCACCCTAAGCCCGAAGCCTTGAGCTGAGCCGTTGCATCTTCCGACAAAGACTTAATTTCAACCCTGAAACCCTCAACCTCAAGTGCCCGGAGAGGATAAGACCTGGCGTCCTCCAACCCCTGCCTCGACGCCCCCCGCAACCGAACCAGAGACGCGGACAGGTTCGGCACGAGAATTTGGCCCTTTGACTGGACAAGCATGGGCTTCCGCAAGGCTTTGTGGTGTTATGTGGGGATTTACATCGTGTTTACAGGGTTTATACCAGGGGCTTCGTAGGCACAGGTCATGGAGGTCTGAGTAGTAACTTCAGACCCCAAGCCCAAAACACGGCCATCTGCCCTCAGTTTCAATGAATCCCGAAGTTCAATCGCAGGGGTTGAGGGCCGAGAGTGAGAGTTTTCTTCCAAAACGCCCTGTCCTTTCCATGCCGAACACGATCCCGTCTTCGCTCCGATCCCTCATCCCGAAGGGTTCTTTTGCACGTCTCCTTCAGTGCCCTCCCCCAAAAGACGTCGTCGGCCCGAATCCCTGTGACTACCAGATGATGGTTGAGGCTGCTAGCACCCGCAACAATAGTTGTAGCAATATTCATGATTTCGTACAGGCTGCGCCTAAGACACTTAAAGGCAAAGCCCACGCGCTAACCTTCACCCAGACCTCCTAAACCCTTTTAACCCTCAAAGGTACAGCTCTACGGCGTTTGCCTGGACACGCGGCCCTTGCGGATCGTCACGGAGTTCTGCGGTGGGGGCGCTGCTTTTGAGCGCCGGGGCCGCCATTCGCTTGTTCTTATATTGTTTACATAGTATAGTATATCTTATTATCTTATATTTTATTCTTATACTATAGTACAGTCGGAGCTGAGGTCTAGGACCCTAGGATTTCTCTTGGCTACTGGTATCAAAGGCCCCGCTCCAACATTTAATGCCCTGCACTCCCTGCAGTCCACGTTATCCTGCTGTTCCCCTGAAGCACTTGCATTCTTGCTTCCCCTGCCTCCTGCAGTTCTGCAGTCCTGATTGAGAAGGGGCACGTTTGGGAAATGAGCTCACGCTTTCTACTACACACTTGCTCTTGAAATTGGAGGGTTTCGGATGCTGCCGTAAGCCCTTCAACTCCTAGCTAGACAGACGGCTGCATGCAAAGGACACATCGGCAGGGCTAACAGAAGCGGACTTCCCTCTCAGACAGAGTGCGAGAGAGAGGGGGAGCTTGATCTAAGCAATCGCAATTTTAGGCTTGATGTTCCCAACCCTCGCCCCTTTGAAGCGAACCCTTTAAGGTATCCCCGAACTGGCTGAAATCTTCCTGCAGTCTTGTTTTTGGGCTCTAAACCCAAAAAACCCTAAAGCCCTAAAAGTTGGAGGAGGCGATGATGGCTTTGGGGAGTAGGGCCTGACGGGTTTGGATGTTATGCGTTTGGGCTTCGGGATTCGGAGCTCCTCGGGTGCAAAAGAAGGGGCCCAGGCAAGTACCAATACCGTTGTGGGGCTCCTGTTTAATTAATATAGTTAGAGTACAATCTACCCGAAAACCTCTATTCTAGTTACGAAGGCCCCTATTTTTAGGGAATAGAGATTGAGGTTAACTACAGATTAGGGTTGTAGGGCATAGCAGGGGCGAACAGGGCCTTTAGGACTTTGATCAGGAGATCATGCTTAACAAAGGCTCCGCGTTTATTGGGTTGGAGTTGGGAGTACGGATTAGAAAACAGGGATTACATCCTAAGTTCCGGAATCGGCGCGTTGGGTCTGACAGAGCCGGCTTTCTTTCCTGAGGCTGCTTCATCATTCGCCTCAAATTGACTTAGCTGCTTGGCCTGAGCAGAAAAACGAATATCGGGAAAGAAACCGTTGGTGTTCGTATTGCTAGATATATTGCTATATTGTTTTAAACTGTATTATATGATTGCATATCATATGATATTGCATTGTATCTACTGTACGTATGATACAACAAAGCTTAACATTATATCATACTTTATTACCGTACTAGCGTTTATGTCATATTATGTTGTAGAATATAATGTCAGCTTGTATTATATTGCATTATGTTAGATCAAACCAAAGTGTGTTATGTTATACTGTTGTCCTTTTATACTATGTTATTATCTTTTTAGCATATTGTAGCATAGTATAGTATATTATATCATATGGCTTAAGGGTTTCCAGACTAGTCGTTGGGTTATTAGTGCAGGGTCCGAGGCTCTGGTCTCATTCCGATGTGTTCTGTCGTGGAAGTCTCCTCACCGTTGCGAGCCATGAGGGTAGTTGTCAAAATTATGGTTCCTTTTGGGGTGCCCTAAATAAAAGGTGCCGTATTATAATCAGGACCCAAAAAAGGCCATGAGCGTGGCTAGTCGGCTTTAGCTTGTAGGGTTTAGGTCTCTGGGTTTGGGCTTTAGGTTTTGCTTTCCGAGCAGGAAGCACTTGCTTTCTGTGCCCAGGTTTATTCACAACAAATCAAGATGTGCAGAGATGTGGCTCGAGCCATGTGCTACCTGCATACGTTCAACCCGATGCTGCTTGGCTTCTTCCTAAACCCTACACCCTGCTTTTTCACTCTGCTCCAGCCTTCACCCTTCGTAAAATCACTGCCTTCTGGGGTCCGAAGCCCGATATCAGAGAATATCATTACGACTACTATTGCTATTATTATGCCCATTGTATCACTCGATTATTAGTACTATGACTATTGTTATTGTTATGATGATTTTGATCAGTACTATTCTTACTGTTAATATTACTATTTGTATTGCTATTATTATTATCAGCCACAGGATTCCCAAGCCTTCGAGCACAGGACCAGATCTCCGGTGAAACCTGAGACCTGGAGCCGGAAGCCCCGCTCCCCCTAGGGTTTCAAGCACCTGAAGTCGTCTGCGATGCACTAGAGCATGGTATTGAATGCACGATACCATAGTATATGAGGTACGACGTTTTTTTGTATATATAATATACCATAATGTAGTATATAATGTCCTGGTTCCAGGATCATCCACAGAGATCTGAAATCATTGAACCTCCTACTGGACAAGCCAGTTACAGGCACGAGCGGCAGGTTTGACCTGGGTCCTAGTTCTGAGCGTAGGGATTCAATGCGAGAGCCTTATGGTGTTCTTCAAGGTTTCCTTAAATGGGCTTCAGTTTTCTAAGATTTCATAAGAAGTTTATAAGGGGATGTCACGGGGTTGTTGTGTTCTTTCGAAAGATTTCTTAGCATTCGGGTACCTTACCTAGGATGGATGCTTGCAAGAAGTGTCGGTCCTCGTAGTCGGGGCCCACCTTCGGCTCGCACATATGATAAGACCCTCAATGTCTTTGCGTTGCATACTTGTTGTGAGAACCAAGTAAGAAGATGCAAGAACCTCCTGGTTACCAGGGGGCCGACACCTCGAGCTTTCACAGAATCTTAAACTTTTGAATGGGACTATGCGTTGAGATTTGGAATTATGATCTTGAGGGTTGCAGCAGCGAGGTTCTGTCTTGGAGTTCCTTTGCTGGTGCTACCGAATCTAACCTAAGGCTTTGGCCTCGTGGAATCGAGGAGTTGAGGGTTCTTAAAGAAACACGTGCACTCGCTCCAGGAGAGCTAATAGACCTGCGCCAGGGCTTCACCATACATCTCCTAGGAGATTGCATACCTAGAGTAAGAGATCCACGCTCGAACGTACAGCGCATCCATTGTGTTTAGATATGGTTGCCTGGCTGTCTATCTGTATGTACGTATGCACCTATGTACGTATGTACATATGTACGTAAGTATGTATGCATGTATGTATGTATTTATGGTTGTTTGTTTAGTTGTACGTATGAGTGTGTGTACGAGTGATGCATTTATGTACGTTTGTATGCATGTTTGTATGTTTGTGCGTACAAGCAAAGTTTGTGCGAGTGTTGAATTTATGTATGTATGTATGTATGTATGTATGTATGTATGTATCTATGTATCTATGTATGGATGGACGGATGTATGTATGTGTGTATGTATGTATGTATGTATGTATGTATGTATGTATGTATGTATGTATCTATGTATCTATGTATCTATGTATCTATGTATGGATGGACGGATGTATGTATGTATGCATGTATGTATGTATGTATGTATGTATATGGCTATGTACACATGTAGCATGAATGTGTGGACGAATGCATGCACATACACAGATATACACCTCGTTTTACCTCGCAGCCGCTCATTTTTTCGGACGGTTCAAGACCCTACATCATTGACCACTGCGGTCACACCTCTTCGGGGCACTCCCCACCCAAACCTCCCGTCATAGTCGCTACATACGCATAGTAGTACAGTACAGTAGGTTCCAACATCTTTTTCGAACTATTCGGATCCCTACAGATTCGGAGCTGTCTTTCACGGAAGACCAGAACTGCTCGATGCAGCATGACGACAAGTCCCCAAAAGAGGGGCTTAGCACCCTCTGCGACGATCGAGCTGCCTGGAGAGTGCACCGAACAAAATCCTGGCCATGAAGCAGTCGTGAAGAGTCGTTCGCCGGAGTCTGCTGACCTTTCAATGCCACCGCAAAGCCAGAAGCCAGTGACCCCCTCTGGCGAAGTTCAGAAGTTTGGGTGTTGCTGCTGTACGGCGTTCCGATCACTCGCTCTTCACATGCAGCTCAGCAGATCTGACGAGCCGATTAGCGAGTTTGCCTTTGTTTCAATGGGCCCGAAGGCCGATGTGACACCGCTGCCGAGCAAAGTCGCAGATGTGATCGACTTTCAGTTGAAACGATGCTGGGTTCTTGTTAAGGAATGTAAGCCCCTTTTCAACCCAAGAACTGTTTGACAAGTTGTTTCAGGCTCTTATGAGTGCTTTAACGGAACTCAGCACGTGCTAAGCAGCTAGCATGTGCCACTATAGTAGAGTATGCAGCATGCAGCAGAGAATTGGTGTTCTTAATGTAATATAATGTTTCCCTGCAAGCACTCAGGATACTTGCAGGATCGCTGCATCGGCGGGAAGTCCACACTGCACCGCTTGGCCGAGAATTGCGCAATCACGTTCAGTCTCCTCCTTGTGCTTCCTGTGCTCAGCTTCCTTGTTTATGTGCTCATCCCGATGGAGCCAACCCAATCTGGGTTTTGGGCCAATTGGAAGTTCAATCTTTTGGCCCACCCGGTTCTCAACTATGTTATGGCAAGGGGGCAGCTCGAGTGTATGAGTCGTGCATTCAGCAATGAAGACCGCAGCCGCATTCGATGGATTGTCCGCATGGCGCCCCTGGCCGACTCTGTCTATTGCCTCCTGGCCCACCTGATCGCCTCTTTCGCCGGCATGTATCCCATTCCCGTCGCTCCGGCCCTCTCCTGCATACCTGGCCTCTGGTGCTCTATGGCCCTCTACTGGCGACTGCTGCCACAGGAGATACTTACATCGGAGGCCCGCCTCTTCATGAAGTTCAACTTCTTCAACTGGGCTTCCTGGATCTCACAGTTCGCCATTTTAATGGTTTGGATGGCACGCTTTCCAACCATCTCCGACCACTTTCAGGCACTGAGCGCTCTCGGATACTGGGCTTTGCAACACAGGACATGTGTTGGTTGCGCTTGTTTCCTTTACATTGTGGAGTTCGTATCTCGACTCTGCTCCCTAAACTCATAAACGCTGCCCAGGAACCCTTGTGCTTAAACCTAAGCTAAGATCCCTAAAGCCATCTAACGCACTTTAGAAACCCCTAAGCGTTATGTAAGTCGAAGACCCTAAGACTTCAACCGTGTTCGCCCGAAAGCTAGCTAGGCCGATGGGCCATTCATATATAGTGTTTTCTCAGTGCGTTCGAAAGGATCGCATGTAGGAAAAGCCTGGAAGTCCAGACGTCTAGACCCAGAGCCTCCAATCCTCAATCCTGAACCCGAGACCCAACCCTCAAGCTGCGCAGACATTGGCCCAGACTTGAGACCTTGCGAAAGCCCATGTCCTGATGCCTACCTAGATCCAGGAGTTTCAGTTTTTCTCCAACCCTCATCCCTAAACCACAAGAGCCCCAAACCCTAAACTCTCAACCCTAAGCCCAGGAGTCTTTCTCCTAGTCTCCTTCCTCGGATGGCTTACGCAGAAATTCGCGGATTGCTGGGGCATCTCCAAGCTCCCCGAGTTAAATAAAACACAGACTCTAGGGTTTAGGGTGTAGGGGGTTCATTTTTTGCTTTGGAATTGGAGATTTCGAGTCCCGGGTTTATTTTATGTTTCGTGTTTAGGGTGCCTTTGCTGTCTAGGGTTTAGGAATGCGGGCGGTTGGAGTTTAGGTAGGATTTGGGGTTACTGTTGTAGTGTCCTTCTACTGTTCCCTTCACCTTTTATTTATAGCAGGACCCTGCAAGCGACAAGTGGGTGAGTTATCACATCTGAGATTGTTCAAGATTCTGTTGTGCGACGAAGCTAGTAGGTTATGGTAATTTAGGGTGGCGGTCTGAGGCTCAGTTTTGACTTTAGGGTTCTGAAGCTCAGTTGGGGCTCTGGAGTGCATGAGGCAATAGGGTTTCGGGTTGCGAGTGCTGGTCAAAGCACTGATGTAAGACTGCGAGCCTATGCGCTTCTAGGTGTCATAGGAATTTTATGCAGAACCCCCAAACCCCAACACCCCAGCAGACTATATAGTCCGAGAAGGACCCTACGCTCTACGGCGACACCTCAGTCATACCTAAGCACTCTAGACCCTATGCCCTAATCTCTCGGAGACCTGCCACCAAAAGGTACCTACTAAAGGATATCAAGCTGGGCATGTTCTTCGTCAGCCTTTTCTGTTCTGCGAGTCTGATGTCAAAGACGAAGAACGTCGGAGTGGTTCTCGTGATCACCATGCTGGATGCAGGCCTCAGATTCTTCGTGCCTGGTTTTGTTCGAGTTTGGCGGTTAAATAGGTGAGTCTTGCAGTCCAAAAGACAGAAACAAATACACGTGTAAGTTGAGTTCTGTTCTCAAGGCAATGCGAGAGACTAGCGTCATTCCAGTGATGCTGTGACTGTCGCCGTGCCTGTATGACCGATCAAGCCACGCGATGGTTCAAATCAGAGAGAAGCTAATCTGTATGTTCGATCAGAATCAATCAGGCGGAAAATCCGAATAAGCACTACCAACAAATGCACAGAGAATCCTCTGCACCACGCCAGCAATATGAGGTGTACAGTCGGGCAGGTTACGCAACTGAACGATCTGAACCCGAAACGTTGGCACTCAGACCCGTTCAGACCTAACATCCTGCACCGTAATCCCGAACAGCTAAGTTCGGGACTAGCCGAGCTGCTCAGTCAGGGTGGCATTCATTGTGGCCAAGCAAGTAACCTTCAGCTTCTTTGGTGTGGTAAACCAAAAAGGCAGTTTCGGAGGAAGTTGGACAAGTAGCCATAGGAAGCGGACAGTTTCTTTAGGATTTCAGGTTCATGAGGGCCGTGCATTGGCAGGCAAAGCTCTGGCGCTCGCGGCAAAGCTGTCATGGGATCTTGTTCAGGCAAGTCGCTTGTCCCCCCCCGCCCCCTTCCCGGCAAGGTGCTTTTGCATGTCAAAGTTGGCATGGGCAAAGTAAGGCAGGTTTCGCAAAACCAATAAGTGTACGTAAGCGTTCATGAACTTCTGTAACCGCTCTAAGATAGAGCAACATGTCATAGCATATCATAGAGAAATAGAGTGCAGCTAATTTTGTAAAGTTTCATCTTATACTGAGTATACGACACTAGGCCAGACTAGACTATGCTATGCCATGCTATGCTGTGCTACTATACTATGCTACACTACACGGTAGTATGCTACATCAATGAAAGTATTCACGGTTATATTGATTATGCTATGCTGTACTATACAATAGTATAGTGCTATACTTTTTTTATAATATACTGTAATGTGTTTTAGTAAATTGTAGTATACTCCAATATACTCGCATACGCCATAATATATTTTCAGACGTTGGAATTATAATACATTTTAATATGGACAATGTTTGCAATAACCCTTTACTATATTACACGTTTAATGTACTGTAGTATGACTAGTTTTCTATAATGTACTTTTATGGGCAATAATGCATGTTCATATGCTATACAAGATTGCAGTATACTTTAATATGCCTTCATATACTTCCATATACTGTAATATACTTTAAGATATTCTAACATTTACTCGTTTGTTCACGATAATACAATAAAATATACGGGGAAACAGCATACAATGCAGAATTCTGATATGTTTCAAGTTTTAACTGTTCAGTATACTTGAATATACTATACTCTACATACTAAAAAATTTATTGTAACTAGCACTTAATATCGTATACGTCAGTATACTAAATTATGCCAGAACACACTTTAGTATACGATGATGTATTTTACTACACATTAAATTGCTGTGACTTGGTATACAATGCTATAAAGTTCCATTTAGTAAGCTTACACCATTATATTGTGTGGACGTGCTGGAGGCCCTCGAGGCAGAGGATGGCATTTGCGGTCCATCTGAAGAGGATCCCGCCGTGGCCACATCGGGCCAAAAGGCCGGCTTGGGAAATTATGTGACATATACATACATACATACATACATACATACATACATACATGCATACATACATACATATGCTCATACATATATACCTATATGTACGTATATATGTATTTGCGTAATTTATATATATATATATATATATGTATATATACACTTATTTATTTATCTCTATTAAAACAATAGTAATACTCGTATTTGATCGAACGAAGTATGTGTAGCACTAATTTCTCTCTGTGTGTATATATATATATATACATCACCATATGATACTAGGTTTTGTGTTTTCGTTGAGTTTTTGAGGTTTGCTAGTACTACCACCTACTAGTTACTACTACTACTCCTCCTCCTACTCCTCGTACTACTACGACTACTACCCACAGGAGCAGTGCTGTAGTGTTACAGTACGGTTAGTAAGTGCTAGTACTACGCGTCATGCCAGGTGTTGGGATTGAGCAGTTTATGGCAGAAGGTCCAGCACAAGCTCGGAGTTGCAAGAAGGGTGGGCCAGAGGTTGCGAGGAGCTCTAATCCGGATAGAGAGTGGAACAGACAAAGATATGCACACCGCCGTATGTCCTGCAGACGTACGGCTGTTGAAGATTTCGACGCACTGTTTGGCTACCTTGGCTGTCGTGGAGCTTTGCGAGCTCTTCGTTCCAGTGTACTACATGATGATGGCATCTCTTCTTCGGGCAGTGGAAGACAATCGTACTTATTTCATACAATTCCGGCAGGAGACCACCGCAGAGTTCCAGGATGGCTTAATGGGCAATTCCATCGCTGTAGCTATCGAGGCTGTTGTGTTCCTCGGCTTGCAGATTTTGCTCCTCCGCATCTTCGGAATCAATCTGTGGGAGTTTGCAGGCACCATGGTTCGCATCGACTACTCCTTCTATGCGTTTGCAATGTCGTGCTGCTGCATCACTTTCCTGTCCATCACGATCGAGCATTTCGGGAGCTGGGGGCTCATGAGTTTGGTGACCGGGGAAGGTGGGGGTTGAGGACTGAGGTGGGGACCTGAAATCCGAACACTCTGATGACATGCTTTCTATTTTGGTTTTCGTGTTCGTGCCCGTGTCATTTGGACGACGAGGCGGGCAAGAGTGGGAGGGCAGGTTTAAAACCTCTATGCCTCTTACACTCGGCCTTGATCACGAGAGTTGCGTTGCCTGTATTTAGGGTTCAGCGCACATGTTACGATGATCGTCATTGTGATGCGGTTCAGGACGCTCAGGCAGAGAGAAAAGAGCGCAGAAGCAAAAGCAAAACCCAACCCCAACAGTAACAGTGTAGGGTTTAGGGTTCTCCAATCCGACGCCACGACGCCCCGGATTGCCGCTCTGCGAGACGACGAAGCCTTTACAAGGTTTCCAAAAACGAACGAACCCTCATTCCCGCTCCGATCTGATTGGGGTGTTTTTCCGGTGGTCCGTGTGGGGAATCCGGCTGCATATCTATGGGGGCGAAGTTCTGAACCCCCAGGCCAAATTCCTTTCCCCAAAGGAGAAAGCCTTGAAGCTCTACCTCCGCCAAATGCAAAGTATCTGCTGCAGGACCAACAGATGAGCCCTTGGTGAAGGCCGGTCCTCCCTCAAAGTCCCGACAAAAGGATTCAAGTTTTACGATTGTGTTCGAAATTAGGGTTTATGGTTTATATAGGAGTTCAGGGATTCAGATGACAGGTTTTGGGGGTCAGAATTGTCAAGTTGAGGCTGTATACTCGAAGCATTGCGTCGCCGAAGGAGAAGAACACGGATTGGTCTCTTGTAGTACCGATGTTTGTTCGGAGTCCGACGGCACGTCACAATTCAGCAAGTTGAGGGGGCTTCTTGCATGTCTGTCCTGTGCCGTATTGCTGTTGCAATTCTGATCCTTCCTGGACGCTCTTTGGATTGTGTGTTTCTGCCATGTTGCGCATGCAAGGTGGTTCATTAACTATTGGTTTTGCGAACATCGAACAACATTTAGGAGGGCTTGGAATTGCAGGCCGAAAGTCTGATCAATTCCGCAACCTCTCACACACGCACACACCCAAAAAAAGAAATCCTTGACCGAGCTCACTTCCGAACCTTGTGGAAGCCCTGTAAGTACCCAGCCCTCAAGCCCTAAACTGAAACTCGTACAAGAGTAAACCCTACGCCCCAAAGCGCTAAATATGAAACGAAAATTCGTGAACCCTCCGCCCAAAACCTGGAGTGCCAACACAAGGTCTGTGATTTTGGCGTGGCAAAATTTCAGGTGCCTTTGCTCCGTTTCTCAAGCTTGCAGGCTTACGGCACTAGCGAAGTTCTGAGTAATTAAGGGCTTCTGGTTGCTCAGATTTGGCGACTCCATGGTCGATGTAGGGCCGTAAACGGCCGGGATACGCACAGGGGTTGGGGACTTTCTGGACCAGGGGCGCAGTCTTGGCACGGAGTGGGTGGCTCCTTGGGCTTATAGTGTGCGTATTTCAGGCACCGAGCCACCAGATGATGATTTCCGGGAAACATACCGGACCCGAGAAATCTGAAATACTTGACAAACAGGCCCTACGACGACCGTGAGCCCCAATGCTAGACCCTAACCCGAAACCCTGAACCTAACCGGAAACGCACAGCGCCCGAGCCTGGGCCCGGAAAAAGACTCGCATTCCGAGGTCCAGGATGGAGACTGGGGGCAGATGACCAATCAGGCCAGGCGTTGTCTCTGTCTGAGGAGTTATGGTCTACATTTGTGCGTAATTTTTTGCGCAGAAAATACTAAAAGGTCAGGGGTCTAGTTGTATAGAGACTTACAAGGTTTTGTGAGGGTTATGCAGGTGTTGTTTGTCGGACGGGATCTGTTCATGCATGGCCTGAGCTTAATATTATTTGAGCCGGCCAGCCAAGCTCTGTCACTCTCTTGTCTTTTCACCAAGACACCGGGCATGCTTAGGTCTTATAGGGTTTAGTGGAACGCATCTGTGAACCTCCGAAACCCCAACACACCAAACGATTGTGTTGAGCACCTCATCCGAAAGGGTGCCAGAGGAGAGCTCAAGCACCCAGCTTTCCTCCACCCAGAATATAAATTGGCCCCAAAGCAAATCCATGCGGCCCCTAAACCCTAAACCCTATACCCATTGAATTTCAGCAAGCAAAGGCCCTAAGCCCCAAGCCCTGCTCCAAGCCCTACACCGAAGCCCAAGCTCCGCAAGGCGAAGCCAGGCAGTTGAAGCATTGCACCGGGTGCCCCCCCCCCCCAAGCACCTTTTGATCTTTGGTTTTAGGCGGGGACCAAGCACTGGATGGCCCCAGCTCCTTGTCCAGATCTGTCATGAAGGGTTCGGGGCTTTTGGCTACTGGTTTGGTGTTTCAGGATTTAGTTCTTAAGCTTTAGAGTTTCACAGGTAGAGACGATTTACTTCGTTCGTGTTGACCATCACTTCTAGTTGTTCCAGCACCTGAATCTTGGGCGTTGGCGAGTCTCTGCAGGGTGGCTCCAACTTAAGGTCCTGACAGGATTCCCAATCGACTGCAACACCCTATTTTCATTATGGCTATGGAAAGGCCCCCATACTAGGCTCTCCTTTCTGCATTCGCGATGTTGTTCTGCGGTCCTCACAATCGTCCTGCATCACGTCATTCTCGATGACAAACGAGATTCAAAATCTACGATCGAGCGGTAAACCCCAAATTTGTCAGCCTAGATTCTACCCGTCCAGGTCACTCTGCAATCATCATCCAAACACGCCGATCCAGGGCTTTGGGTCGCGATGTTGGGCCAGAAGGGGTGACCTTGCGACCCTTTTCCCTTGCCTCGGCCCGAAAAAAATGGACCCAAACTGTTTTGCCTGAACCCTTCACGTCTCTTGGAGCAGTGCTCTGGCCAAGGAGATGTGGACCGGCTCCACCTACGACGAGAAGGCCGCTTCTTCAGGATGCGGGTGTCCATAAGTTCAAGATACCATAGCAGGGATCTATAAGGGTTACCCTTAAGTGTTCTATAAGGGTTCCTTTAAGTGTGCTATACGGGTTTGGGGTTTAGGCAAAAACCAGAGCTTTGCAGAAGAACCCTCGGAGACCCAAGGCCTCAAAACCCTTCCACGAACACGCCTATGGAGGCCCCCCGCAAACCCCTATAGTTTAGGGAGTTTAGGGGTGTAGGGTTTAGGGCTCCAGACCTAGAGGCCCCGAAAACTTGAGTGTCTAGGGCTCAGGGCTCATAGGGGCAAGGGCCTATGCTTCAGAGGGTTGCGGGTTCGGGGCTTTCCTGCGTAAAGGGTTTCGGATTTGGAGGGGAATGCTCAAGGGTTTGGCCTGCCTGCGCCGTGCTTAAAGAACCAGGGCGCTTAGTGAGTAGGCCTTTGCATACTTCTATGTACTTGTAACCTCAATGAAGGTACTTGTGGGACCCGCCGGATCATAGTCCTTTGAAGGAATGCAGTGACGTGATTACGAGCCCATGGTTCTTGTTAGAAATCCTGCTATGATGGAGACATTGCACCAGGGCCTGGCTGAACCAGGCTCTTAACCCTCATAACAAAACCCCTGACACCTTGAACCTTCACACCCCCTGAACCCTAAATCCTAGAAAGGAGGTTCGCAACCTGGCTCTTACCATGGAGCTCTGAAGAATTAGTAGTCATGTCCCCGAAAGTGCCCCCCCCTCAAAACCCGACTAAAACCATTAAGGCCCCTACGTTACATCAGATGCTTTGGAAAGAGAGATAGCCAGAGAGGGAGGGAGAGAGATAGAGAGGGCGACATGGAGAGAGTGCGAGCGAGACGGAGAGATAGACAGTGATGGCCCCAAGCCCCGTATAGACCCTAAGCGAGACTGGTAATGAGGTGGACGTGTTCTCCTATGCCATGGTGATCTACGAAATCATTTGTCGTGAAGTTCCCTTCGAAGAGGAGGCGACCTCTGCATAAGGTTGCAATATAGGGGTCTGAATAATGAGACAAATTCCTCCGTCATGTTGTTAAGATTCTCGCCAATAGACCCTAAACCCCTTATAAACTTACAGTCGAGAGTATTCCCACTTCACTAAGCCTTATTCAGAAGCAGTCAGGCTCCAAGACTAGACGCGGGCGGTTCTCCTCTAAATCACATTCCTTATTCAGCAACCCAAAAGAAGGCAACACCCTCACAAAATGGACCCTAAAAGAGACCCTCATTCAGAGAAGTACCCATAGAGTTTTACGGTGGTTAATTGCGCTCCAATCATGACTTTTTCATCCCCGAGCTCTAAGCGTTGACCGTGCTTTCCCCAAAACCCGAAACCCTCCAAAGCCGAAAGCTTAAACACGGCTGTAGAGGGCTTTCAGGGATAGCACTTGAAGCAGCAGGAGCATGTCGTGGTGTTCTTTGCGAAGTCAGAAGCTTTTGCAGGTTTGGGGGCTGTTGCCTGAACCGGTGGCAATACGGCTTACTTACAAAAAGGTTCACGTTCACCCAGAGCTCTGTGCTTTTGCGGACGGGCAGCTCAGCTAAGAGGGTTGCGGTTTCGAAAGTTCGGGATGGACAAGGGCGCTGTTGTCTGTTTCGTTCAGTTTTGGCTTTCGGTGCTTCCAGAAAGAGTCATCATCATCATTATCACCTTAGTTTCGCACCCGAGCTTGACCATGATGTGCGCCAACAACAGCAAGATCAACAGCAAGATCACAGAGTGCCATCCAAATATCTGTTTCCTGTGGCCGTTCTGGAAACTGTGGCTATCCGCAGTTATCCTAGTCGTTGTGGTCATGAACAAATTGTATACGGTCCAGAATCCAGGGTTCAAAATTCTCCGGGGCTGGTGGCTTCGGGCCTGAGCTCCCCATCAGCATCGAAGGAGCATGTCTTTTTCGGGGCTGCATCCGATGGGTCCGGAAGTCAAAACTCGAAGGCATTAGGAAAGTTCAGCTTTTTTTTTTTGCAAGCGCAGGTCCATGCTAGAACCCGTTCGGACGGTTGACAGGGGCGACGCAGCATCAATCGGTACAATGGCGGTTTGTTCCCCTTGATCACTCAAGCCTGAGCGTTTCTGCGCAGGAGCCGACAGATGTGGGCAAATACACGGTGGCCGGGATCCGCCCAGACATGGACGCTGGGCCTTGTTTTCTTGTGTCTTGAGACGTTTCGTAAGGCTTTCATAGAGTCTTATAAGAGGTCTACTAGAAGGGGAATAGTCGAAGCAGATTGTACGATGTCCCAAGGTTCGGGGTTGATGCTGCTATAGATGATGTTTTAGATGATCATGACGATCTTGCGGACAGAGGCGATGAGCCCTGAACCCAAACCCATCAAGGAGTTTGGGGAAGAGCAGTTTCAGAAGATGTGAGACTTCGCACGGGGATTGCGGGTGCGCGAGCTTCCTCTTCAGGCCCAGAGCGTTTCAGAAGCTCCCGCTCAAGAGTTTGTCGCTTAAGGCCTGCAGCAAAATAGTTATTTGTTGTTGACAACGCGCACCCAGGCGTAGGGGTTCTTTTGCAGACTGAACTCGAAGACGTGCCCTGCGAAGTTCCTGCTTCTTCACGGGCAGGTCCAAGAGGTTGCGAAGACGGAGCTAAGTATGTCCTCCGTGTGTGTGTGTGTGCGTGTGTATTTTGGCTAGTTTGACAGAATGTGAGCTGGTTTTGTGACTATTCCAGAGGATGCAGCAGAGGTTAAACAGGCTTCTTATAAACCTCCATTGAGTATACTGAGCCTCAGCAGTGCCCGTTTGAGATGCCTGCGATTGTTCGTGCCCAGGACGCTGTACCTCCCGACTGCCCTACTCAACTGCTGGATGTAATGAAGGCTCGAAAGACGGATGCTAGAATCGGGGTCCAGGGATGGTTTACGAAAAATCGGCTCATATGGACTTTGAAGCATAGAGCTTGCCGCAACCCGTGTCTAAGAGCCTGGTTCTGGATGGGAGTTCAGGGTGAGGGCCACCCAGTGTGGGGAAACTTGGGGCTGTGGTGTTCGTGGTTTTGGGCGGCGCCCTCAGGGTAATGTAGAAGCCTGTATAGTTACCCATTTTATTCTTAGGATTCCTTGTTATAACTATACTATACAGAAGCCCAAACCCTATTCTATGATTATTGAGGCCCCTGCAGTACGGGGCCTTGGTGTGCTCTTGTGGGTCTCCAGAGATAGCGGGCCACTGGTTCCTACGTTGTTTGCATGATCGATTGCAGCCGGTAGCAAAAAGATGGCTCGACAGGCAGTGTGATGCTTTCTGAATGTCTCGGACCTGAATCAAGCCTTAATTCCCAAACACCAAAACCCTGGACCCCGAAGACCCAAAACCGCGTAATATAGGGGCCTGAATTTAAGAGTAACCTATACTATGTTGGGGGTTCCTTAAAATAGCGGTGTATATATATATATATATATGTATTTAATGGCTGCCGCCAATGCCGC